AAAAAAAAAAAAAAAAAAAAAAAAAAAAAAAAAAAAAAAAAAAAGAGGCTATTACAGCCATATCTGTAGGAAGTGACAGTGGTGGAATAAATGAGGGGCCACACAGAAGAGACAAAGCATGTCTGGGTAAGAGTGACAGCATCAGAGGACTTGGGGAGAGAAAAAGGGAGCAGTCAGGGTGGTCATGGCTTTGAGCCTCAGTGATGGGGGAGGCATTCGCCGAGGCAGAGAACACAGAAGGGTACAGTATAGCTTGTGTGACGTCAGCAGTATTTGCAAAAAAGCTTCTAGGACAGAGTTTTAGGAGGCGACTAGATGTATGAATGTGGGAATGCAGAGAGAGGACATTTGCTAGCTTAATAAGTCTGAACTGAGTGACCAAGACAGATCAGAAGTGGAAGAGGCCAGGCCTGGGATGACCCCCAAGGTTGGAGTCAGGACTGAGTAAGAGACGGTCAGGCCTGAGCTGGGGATGGAAAGGGCAGGCATCCCTAAGTCCAGCCCTATTCACAATTCCAGCCACCCTCCAGGCTGCACACACCTCTTCCCTGAGTCCCACAGCTGCTGTCTAAACATTGGTGCCATGTCCCAATCAAGCCACATCTATTCCAACCAACACTGATCAACAAGAATGGAAATGATTTCACATCCCCCTGACTCCCTGGGAGACAGGCTGTACCACGAGGTCATGTTTTTGCAGGACTTTAAAAAATTAAAGCCCAGATAAATGACTTTGTTAATGTCAAGGAATTTGCCAGTCAGCACAGCTGGGAAGAGTCCAGTTCTGCTACACCTTTCTGCCCTTCTGTGGAGCAAACCTCATTAACAGCTGCTAGCCTTAATGGGTGCCACCCCAGGCACCCAGCCTCAATCTTTCCAATCCCAGCCAAGCACACCTGCCCCCTCCCTGCCACCCTCCACTCCTACACACACACCCCCAGCAGCTGGGCCCAGGGAGTCCCTCAGCCAAACCACGTGTATCCCGGCCAGCCCCCCTTCTCTCCCAGCTGTCTACAGTAGGGAAGCCCTGAGCAGCCACTTCCTTTCCAGACGCTTCCGGCCTCAAAGCCTGGCCGCCTGCTGAGTCAGCAGCTCCTCCCACCCCCCCCCCCCCCCCCCCCCCCCCCCCCCCCCCCAATTCATTCATAAAGCGCCTTTGGCGGGCACCACATCCTGCCCAACGAGGGCCACCCTGGGGCACACAGGAAGCTCCAGCACGCAGCTGCCGGCAAGACCTGCCTGCCCTCCCGCAGGAAGCACCAGGGCTAAGGATGAATGAATGCCCAGATTCCACGTCTTCCTTCCTCTCTTACCCGGAGACACAGCCTGTGGGTTCTTCCTGGGCCACCTCCCTCACTCTCTGCACTGCTTCTCAATCTTCCAGCTCCCACCCTGACCCAAGACCCTCCTCACTGGCCCTGCCTGCTCCTCTCTTTCCCTGCCAGCCCCGTTCTCTAAGGCGCCTTCTCTTAGGACCTAAGACAGGAATCTGTTCCTGTCCCTTCTTTGCTCAAGAATGTCCCGCGGCTCCCCATTCACTATAGAAGTCGGACCCCATTCCTCTGCCTGGCACTCTAGACCCTTTGTATGATTGTCTTTTCCATATATCAGGCTAATTCCTGCCACTCTGGGCGGGTGCAGGGAGCAGAGGGCACCTCCCTTGATCAGGACCTGCCCATCCCCCGCAGAAAGGGCAGGATCTTCCTGTGGGTCCCACAGTGACCCTTGTAAGGCAAAGGTGCTTTGTGAATGGAGTGGGGGAAGGCTGCTTACTCCCAGGGCCTAGCCGCCCTTCCCTCCAGAGGGAAGATGAGGGACTTCCAGGGCTGGGCCCTGGACTTGCTCCCTTTCATTCCTTTCCTACACGCTGGGTCCTGGAAACCTGCTCTGGAGAGAAGGAGCTTGATAGCCCAGAAGCAAAGAGATCAGAGGAGTCCACAACACCCAGAGACCCCTACCCTGACAGCTGGGCCTGGAGGAGCTGAGGACAGGAGAAAGAGACGCAGCTCAGAAAGGATGGGAGGGTGGCCTGGGGACACAGAGCCATGTGGAGACACGCAGGCCTCATGCCACCTGCATAACCCCCACCCACGTGTTCCACAAAAGGGAATTTCATCCCTAGCTGGGACCTGCCCTGGAGTCAGCATTGTGGCACCCCTCCCAGTGAGTCACCTGCCCGCAACCAATCTCCCTCCCCTTCCCTTCCCCCTCCCCCCTCCTCCTCTCCCTCCTCCTCCTCCTTTCTGCTCTATCCCAAAACCACAGAGCACTGTGGGCTTTCACAGAGCAGCAGGAGTGAGGGGCCAGGCTGTCCTCAGCTTAAGTTACGGCAAGTGCATCCAACCCTGCAGAAGTGGGGCCACGGGGAGGCTCCCAAGAGATGACCCAAGATGTGCCCTCATAAAGCTACAACAACAAAACCAGACCATGCCTGAGCTCGGGGCCAAAATGCCCTGGGCCTAGGATGCCAAGAGGGCCTCCTTGCCCCCACCATGATCATCCACATCACCCCACTTCCTCCCAATCCCCACAGGGGCTCCTTGGGCAACACTTCCCACAAAGGGGACAAGGAGGGTTAGCGAGACAGTTCTGAAAATGTCAGACAAGTCCCTGGGTCCAGCTATGCCTGACGCAAGCTGCAGGCCTAGACTGCCCAGATTCTTGAACCAGTCATATTTTTTTCCTTAAACCAGTTGGAGCTAAGTTTCTATTATCTGCAATGAAGGAGTCCTTGAATCTACGTGCATTCATGTCTTTAGTAATTCATTTCACTGCTTACAGAGCTCCTGGTAGGGAGGTACTAGGGGCAGACAGATGACTAAGGTACACGTCTGTCCTCAAGGAGCAGATTCTAACAGGGAAGGGGGACGTGCAGGCAGGTCACTGCAGTTGGGCATAGTATACTATTTAAGATACAGTCAGGGCAACTTGGAGGCACCTCAGAGGCATGATAACCCAAAGGTGATCCCTGAAAAGTCATGAGCAGCTCCCCAGGTAGCCACAGTGGGAAAGGTAGCCTTTCCTGAACTCCAGAAACCCATCCTCCTGGCACTGCCTATCTGCCTCTCAGCCAGGTCTCCTTGGAATTCTAGAAAACGATCCCTAAGTTTGGGGTTCTGGTCCCAGCTGTGACACTTTGCTATGCAGTCTTAACTAGGCGACTTCCTTTCTCTGACCTCAGTGTTCCTACCTATAAAAGAAAAGCTTTGTGGATGCTAGCAGAACTTTACCAGTACTTGAAGCTTTCAGGGACTATAACCTTAAGGGCTGGCCAATTCACAGCCACACAATTCACACTGAAATGCACAAAGTGACTGGGCAGAAACTGCTAGTTGCTGTCCGCTTACAGGAATGTTCTCCCCTTTTTTTTTTTTTTTTTTTTTTTCACAGAGACAGGGTCTCGCTCTGTCACCCAGGCTGGAGTGGTACCATCATAGTTCAGTGGTGCAATCAGAGCCCACTGCAGCCTTGAACTCCTGGGCTCAAGCGATCCTCCTGCCTCAGCCTCCCGAGTAGCTGGGACTACAGGCACCGCCACCACATCCAGCTCCCTCCTTGTTCCACAGTTAGGCACACGGCCAGTCAGCTAACAACTGCAAACCCCAGCTTTCCTTGCAGCAGAGTGCGGCCATGTAATGTGTACGCTGATAGCTACAACTTCTGGGTCATGCCTTTAAAGAGAGGAAGCATGCCTTCCCCCCCCTTTCCCCTCCCCTTTCCCGGTGGCTGGAACACAGATGTGGTGTGTGTGGCAACCATACTATCAAAGGCAACACGCTGAGGATGGCAGAGCAGCAGGCCAAAGAACCCTGAGGGGCTCTAGTATCAGCCCTGGATACACCCAGATGCTCACATGGGTGAGAAATAAA